GCTTGGTTATTATGTTAGGACTGGGGAGATGAGCCGGTCTGGGATTGTTAAGTGCAAAAGTGTTCACGGTGGATTGTTGAAGAGGCGGGCATTTCAGGAATTTCTCAAAGTCTAACAACCCGTCCAGGTTAAAGGTTTTGGAGTTATTGCTGCAATGCAGAGGAACAGCTTTGCGGAATTAGTTACCGTATGGCCAGACCTGTAGAACAAGCTAAATGAGGAAAGTGCGCCGCTGTGAATCTGATTGGTCATTGGCCATTTATCAACTTGGGATTCGCTTGTCATAGCGGCTAAGTACATGAGACTGGATCAGCCCTTGATCTGGCCTTATGCTGAATTGTCCGTTGGACTAGAAAAAAGGGTCCTTTCCTGGTCAGCGCGACATTTTCAGGCGAAATAAGGAATTCGTTGTATGCCCGTTGTTGTTTTTGAAGCGATGTGTCACTCTCTCGCTTTGCGCGAGCTGGAGTACAAGGGCGAACTCCAACATCCCGGAGTTCAGCGATTCTCCTGGCCTCAGCTCCCGAGTAGCTGGGACTACAGGCCACGCGCACCAGATGTCGCGCTAATTTTTGTATTTTAGTAGAGGATGGGGTTGTCCTATGTTGGCCGGGGGTGTGGTCTTGAAACTCTGACCTCGCTGATCCGCCCGCCTCTGCCTCCCAAATGTGCCGGCTGAGTTTACAGGCCTTTGAGCCACCGCGCCAGGCCTGATTGGTTTTTAAGAGAGACAGGGTTCACGCTCTGTCACCCAGGGGCGAAGCGTGCCATAGTGGGCCTGCCATCACTACTCGAACTGCCAGTCTCCAACGTCACTGAACTCAAGGCCGAGAAAATCAGTGGATATTTATCATGCCTATATGCTGTGGTGTGGTTAGGTGGTTGACTAGGGCTACTACCCAAACATGGCTCCGATTTAATTTTTCATTCCGGCAAAGTCTGACGATCCAGGCCTTCAAAACAGAATGTATCAAGTAGAATACCACAAGCGCAGGGTCTGTCCAATCTCTTGGCAATTCCCTGGGGACCACGATTGGAAGAGAATGGTTCTTGGGCTACACATAAAATACGACAAGACACTAAAAATAGCTGATGAGCAAAAAAAAAAAAATTTGCAAAAAAACTCTCGTAAACGTTTTAAAACGTTTTACAAATTTGTGTTGTTGGATTGGATTCAAGTCGTCCTGGCCACATTGCGGTCACAGCTGAGGGTTGGCAAGGTTTGGTATAGGAATGAAAGGGATGTGGGCCTCTGCCCCAGCCTGGGAGCCACAGGATCAGGTACTTTATAGGGTGTACCTTTTTGAAGGAGGCAGAGGGTCCACCACTCGGCGCAACATAGCAAGGACCCTATCTACAAAAAAACTACAAACAGCTGGCGGTGGTGGGGTGCATTCTTCACTCCCAGCTACTTAGGAACTGAGGGCAGAAGCATTGATATAAGCAGGAGTTCCGAGGCTACAGTGAGCCATGATATACACCACCTGGCACCCAGCATGGGTGATAGAGGGCAGACTCCTCAAAAAAAAAAAAAAAAAAAGGCGGAGCTCGGTGGCCTGCTACGCCTTCTAAATCCCAGCACTATTGGGGGCCGAGAGACGGGGAGCGCACTCCGAGGGTCAGGCAGATCGAGAGACACATCCTGGATACACGGGTAGAGACCCCGACTCTCTTACTAAAAAAATACAAAAAATTAGCCAGGCGGTGCGTGAGTGGGCCGCCTGTAGTCCCAGCTTACTCGGGAGAGGCTGACGGGTGAGAGTGGCGTGAACCGAGGTGGAGCTATCCGTGAGTGAGCCAAGGATCGCTTGCCACTGCACTCTAGCACTGGGTGCAGAGCGAGACTCCTGTCCTAAAAAAAAAAAAAAAAAAAAGGCCAAAGCATCGTTCTAAACTGTCGTTTCAGGGGCAAGGTGAAACTGTGTCTGGAGGGGTCATCCATTAAATGAAAGTGAGAATTTCATTAAAATTCACCCTTAGAAGCAGTTGTGTTAGCCTAGTGCCGCTGTGGCCTCACGCCTGTAATCCTGGCACTTTGGAGGCTGAGGTGGAGTGGATCACCTAAGGAGCGCAGGAGTTCAAACCAGACTGACCAAACATGGTGGACAAAGCCCATCTCAACTAAAAAATACAAAAAATTTAGCTGGGCAATGGTCGGAGGGGCACCTGTAATCCCGCGAGTCTAGCTTCTGCGAGGCTGAGGGCAGGAGAATGCGCTTGAACCCGGGAGGCGGAAGCTTAGCAATGAGTGAGATCCGGTGCCACTGCCACTCCGGGCCTGAGGCCCAACAGCCAGAGACTTCCGTCTCAAAAAAAAAAAAAAAAACTACTGAAACAGCATGACGTGGTGGTGCATTCTATGTATCCCAGCCACTTAGGAGACTGAAGGCAGAAGCATTGCTTAAGCCCAGGAGTTCCGAGGCATGACAGTGACCAATGATTACACCACTGCACCTCAGCATGTGTGAATAGAGGGAGGACTCCTCAAAAAAAAGAAAAAAAAAAAAAAAAAAATAAGCCGGCGCTGGCGGCTCACGCCTTGTAATCCCAGCACTTTGGGAGCTAAGGCGGCGGATCATGAGGTCAGGGAGATTGAGACCATCCTGGCTAACAGGTTGAAACCCCGTCTCTACTAAAAATACAAAAAAGTTAGCGGGCGTGGTGGTGGGCGCCTGTAGTCCCAGGCTACTCGGGAGGCTGAGGCAGGAGAGTGGCGTGAACCCGGAAGGTGGAGCTTGCAGTGAGCCAAGATCGCGGCACTCACTCCAGCCTGGGTGACAGGAGCCAGACTCTGTCTCAAAAAAAAAAAAAAAAAAAAAAAAGGCAAAGCGTGTTCTAAACTGTTTTCAGGAAGGTGAACTGTTGATTTGCATCCATTAAATGAAAAGTGAATTTCATTAAATTCACCTTTAGAAAGCAAGTTTGGTGCCAGGCGCGGTGGCTCACGCTGTAATCCTAGCACTTTGGGAGGCTGAGGTGGGTGGATCACCTAAGGGCAGGAGTTAGACCAGCCTGACCAACATGGTGAAGCCCATCTCAACTAAAAATACAAAAAAATTAGCTGGGCATGGTGGCGGGCAACCTGTAATCCCAGCTACTTCTGGAGGCTGAGGCAGAGAACTCGCGCGGAGGCGGAGGTTGCTGTGAGCAGAGATTGTGCCATTGCACTCCAGCCTGCATGACAGAGATGAAACTCTGTCTAAAAAAAAAAAAAGATAGCAAGTCTGTAATTGTTACTGTTTGCTAATCCTGCTAGCAAATCACCAGGCTAGAGGTGGCGGTTTTGAGGGACCCCCCCAGAACACTTGGAGGGGGCTTGTTAGCAGGGGAGCTGGCGCGTAGGAGCAGGGTTAGAAATACATAAGTAGATTTAGAGAAAGAAAAGCTGGTTAACTGGAATCCCTAGGATAACTAGACTCGAACATCCTGTGTGATAGGGGAGGGGAGCATTTGGCTTTTCTCCTGTTGATCCTAAATTACAGGGAGTGGGGAGCAAAATTTTGGATAAAGCTGTTATTGATCAAGTCCTGATGTGGGGCCCGTGCCTCAGAGGCTATGGTTTGGTTTCCAGAGCTGGTTGCTGCAGGGTGTGGATCAGAGTGCTATGTGTGGTTTTTGTTGTTGTTGTTGTTGTTGTTGTTTTGAGATGGAGTCTTGCTCTGTTGTCAGGCTGGAATACAGTGGTACAATCTTGGCTCACTGCAACCTCCGCCTCCCAGGTTCAAGCGATTCTCCTGCCTCAGCCTCCCGAGTAGCTGGGACTACAGGCGCATGCCACCACGCCCAGCTAATTATTTGTATTTTAGTAGAGACGGGGTTTCACCATGTTGGCCAGGATGGTCTCCATCTCCCGACCTCGTGATCCACCTGCCTCAGCCTCCCAAAGTGTTGGGATTACAGGCGTGAGCCACCACACCTGGCCAGAGAGCTATTTTTATATGTGGTCTATCTGCTGTCCCTTTGTATATGAGGTCCTGAGGATGACATGTTCTAGGGAGAAGGGGAGGGCAGGGCTGCAGGTTCCCTTGGACAGAGCTTGGGAAATAGTTCTAGCCTCAGAAATTCATAGACTTACTGTAGTGGCTCATGTATTTCATCACATGTTCCAACACCAAACACAGGGACTTTGTATTAAGCTTTGTCTGTGGGCCCCATTGGTATTCCTGGTCCCAGATCTGCCAAGCAAGAGAGCTTCAAATTAGGGCTGGCCTTACTATCTTTTTTTTCTTCTGCAGCTCAGCCTGACGCCCAGGATCCCACCCCTTGTCAAAGACCAGGCCGTGGAAGCCATGTTCCCACCAGCCAGGGGGAAGGTGAGCTGTGCCTCTCCCTCTGCTTCATCAGCATAGTCACTGCCACCAGCAGCTCCTTCCTCAGGTTGAGCCCTCTTCATCAGTGCGGGGAGTTTTCCTTGTTAGACAGTGCGATGTAGAGAGCTTAGCCTCTGGAGTCACACGGGCTCCCTTCAGCAAGTTACATAAACACTCTGGCTCCAGTTTTCTTTTCTATAAATTGGGTCAATGAGAGTGCCTATCACAGCGAGTTGTGAAGATTCAATGGCAAATGCCCCGTGAAGTCCTTTGTGCAGTATCTGGTTACAGTTCAGCACTGTGTTAAGTTGTTGCTCTTATTACTGTAGTAATTGCCCATTGTTTCTGTCCATGAGCATTATCGTGCATCTACTGCTGTACACTCCAGGTGCTGTCTTCTGTGCTGGGAAATCAACGCTCATCTGTAGGAGAGTACAGTCTGATTAGAGAGATAGATGTGTAAGGAACTTCTCATAATAAATTCTGAACTGTTCCTATGAAAGGGTATAATGGAAGGTCAGTTATTGAATTTGTAGCATTATGGAGGGTGATTAGAAGAGACTGAGTTGTTTTGTCTTTTTTTGAGACAGTGTGTCACTCTGTCGCCCAGGCTGGCATGCAGTGGCATGATCATGGCTCATGACACTCTTGACCTTCCCAGGCTGAGGTGATCCTCCCACCTCAGCCTCCCAAGAAGCTAGAACCACAGGTACATGCTACCAAGGCTGGTTAATTTTTGTATTTTTTATAGACAGGGTTTCACCATGTTGCCCAGGTTGTTTCTGAACTCCTGGCTTGAGCCATCCACCTGCCTCAGCCTCCCAAAGTGCTGGGATTCCAGGCATGAGCCACCGTGCCCGGCTTAGAAGAGACTGAGTTTGAAAGAAAGGAGAGGCCGGGCCTAGTGGCTCATGCCTGGAATCCCAGCACTTTGGGAGGCTGAGGCAGGTGGATCACCTGAGGTCAGGAGTTTGAGACCTGCCTGGTCAACATATAGTGAAACCCCGTCTCTACTGAAAATATAAAAATTAGCTGGGTGTAGTGGTGCATGCCTATAATCCCATCTACTTGGGAAGCTGAGGCAGGAGAATTGCTTGAACCCAGGAGGTGGAGGTTGCAGTGAGCCGAGATTGAGCCATTAAGCCATTACACTCCAGCCTGGGCAACAAGAGCGAAATTCTGTTTCAAAAAAAAAAAAAAAAAACAACCAAACAAAAGAAATGGAACTTTTAAGCAACATTTGGGGCCCACCTGGCAACGTACAGGTCCTAGCTGTTGATGAGTTCTTGGAAACTGCAACTTTAAGGGAAACTGTATATCAAAACTATTTTTTTCCCCATCAGTGTTACAGTGAAACCAAGTTATTCCAGGACCTGCTGCTGTACATACTTTTGGTAAAAATCAGTTTCCAAGAACCTATTGTGGATGTTAAGAGAGGAGTTATCTCGCCGCGATGACTCTGGGAGATGAAGCCACTTTATTCCCATGCTTGTTAACCTTGTGCAGGTGCGGGAATGCAGGTGGCTGAGTAGGTCAGATTGAGGACATTGCAGCGCAGCTCTGGTAAAAGAGTGACATTCTGGATGATGGTGAGAAAGGGCCTGCAACCATAGCAGTGGAACTCAGGTTTGATAGGCAGGAAAGAATGTCCGTATAATTTGGGAGGTTCTGGTGTGTGCCCGCAGAGGGGAGCTACGTGAAGCTTCTCAGGATGAGGGTGGGCATTTCTTGTTACTGACCACTTACAGGACAGCGAACATTTGCTGTTTCCCTGCACACGTCCCTGCTGAACCCATGCAGTGTCTTGTGAGAGCAGGGAGTTTGTAGACAGCCGCTGGGCCCCTCTGCCCCGAGGGCTGCAGTGGTGTGGGAGTGAGAGTGTGGCAGCTTCAGTGCTCAGCCCACTGGAGGGGGACAGTCACTTGCAGATGTAATGTCCCCTGTGCTCACTGTGCCGTGTCCACTGTTGCCCCCTCTGGATATGCTACCCAGGCGTCTGCGCCTTGGTCTGTACCTTTTATATTCTCCAGCAACGGGCTCCCCTGGTCTCCGGCATCTGCTTGGCTTGTGGCAATGGGATGAAGAGGGTTGGAGGATGGGGAACAGGGTTCCAGAGGTCTGGGGGAAACTGAGGTTGGGTTTCTCTTCCCACGGCTCCCTCCCCAGGCTGTGGGATGGGTGTGGCTGCATCCTCTTCGGCCCCAGCTGCAGTCTTGCTCACCTTCCAGTAGCCTTCTGGGCTCCAGCACCCCTCCCCACCTTACCCCTTCAGACCTAGCAGGCCCTGATTCCCCAGGGTGGCCAGCACCTGTGAGCTTCCACATTTCTTGTTCATGTTCGTTGAGACTATTCATCCCTTTGTCGATAGTCTGCACATTAACCAATCCCCCAGTGACCTCATCTCTTTCGTAAGGAAGCTGGGGCAGAAGCAATAGGTTATTTTTATAGAGCAGGGGTCAGCAAACTACCCTCGACCTCTTGGTAAAGTTTCCCTGAAACACAGCTGTGCCTATTCGCTTACTTGTCCATGGCTGCTTTTGTGCTTCAACACAAAAGCTGTTACTCAAATTGTTGATTTGCTGTTCCTCAAATCAACAGCAGATTTGAGGAACTGGAACAGAGACCAGAGGGCCTGAAAAGCCTAAAATATTTACCCTCTGGCCCTTTAGAGATTAAGTATGTTGACCCCGTGGTATGGAAGCCAGCACATGTCTGGTCTGAGGCCCATCAGGCCTGAAAGGAGCCCTGAGTCTATTCCTTATGAATTGGGTGCCCTTGGCCTACACACTTTACCTCCCAAACCTCGGTTTCCTCACCTGTGGAATAATCATTGCGCGTAAGTTATTGTAAGAATTGCAGTTACGTTTATCAGCTACTTTTCCAGGAGCTGCTCTCGTTTGAGGATGTGGCGATGTACTTCACCAGAGAGGAGTGGGGCCACCTCGACTGGGGTCAGAAGGACCTCTACCGAGATGTGATGCTGGAGAACTACAGGAACATGGTCTTGCTGGGTAGGACACAGCTTGAAGATTGGGCTTTGTCTGTGTTCTGAGTGTCTGTGCAAGCCCTTAGTCCCTTATCTGCAATTCCAGAATCAGAAAAAGTGCTGAAAACTGAAAGTTTTTTTCATAACTTGTGTGGCTACAAGCCCTGACCAGACATCACCACAGTGAAACCTGACTTCACCCCATAGGAAACCATTTATTGTCTTTATTTTTCCAACTTGGTGTGCATATCTGTATACCCAACTTCAGAAATAACAGTGTAGGCCGGGTGCGGTGGCTCACGCCTGTAATCCTAGGACTTTGGGATTCTGAGGCAGGTGGGTCACCTGAGGTCAGTAGTTTGAGACCAGCCTGGCCAATATGGTAAAACCCATCTCTACTTAAGATACGAAAATTAGCCAGTTGTGGTGGTGCACGCTTGTAGTCCCAGTTACTTGGGAGGCTGAGGCAGGAGAATCGCTTGAACCCAGGAGGGAGAGGTTGCACTGAGCCGAGATCACGCCAGTGCATTCCAGCCTGGGCGACAGAGTGAGACTCCGTCCCAAAACAAAACAACACAACAACAAAAATAACTGTATTTGAGGGCACCACTCCAAACCCTACTGGGGATGATACGTTATGTAAAATATTTACACCAGGTCACCTTTCTGAAATTGGAAAAATTCTGACTCCTGAAACACATCTGGTCCTAAGGGTTTCACATAAGGGACTGGGGACAGCAAATAGTCGTGTTGTGTTAGGGCTCAGACAGAGACACTTCATGCGTTCTTCACTCTCACCCCATGTTCCTCATCTGTAAGACCTGCAGGAGTTGAGAATTACGGTAGATTTACATTCCAAAGGCTCACTTCTTATGCTCTTGAAAGTCTTTTTCTTTCTTCTCTCTGGAAATGGGTAACTTCTTGGTGTGTAGCATTAGTGGGTGCTCAGGAAATGATTTTAAACCAACTTCATTTCTGAACCTTCACTGCTTCCATCTTTTCAGGAGCCTACCTTGTCCTATTCCACTGTAGTCTCCTACTGTGGGAATTGCCTTGCTAAATAGTTTTCTTTCCAGGACCACATGTTTAACCCCTGCGCTGACACTCTTAGCACAGAGTCTTGACCACCTCTTGTGGGATCGTCCACCCACCTCTGGATTTTTATAATTTTAATGTTCCCTTTAAAAGCATTACAAGGCCAGGCGTGGTGGCTCACGCCTGTAATCTCAGCATTTTGGGAGGCCAAGGTGGGCGGATGATGATGTCAGGAGACCGAGACCATCCTGGCTAACACGGTGAAACCCCGTCTTTACTAAAAATACAAAAAATTAGCCGGGCGTGGTGGCGGGCTCCTGTAGTCCCAGCTACTCGGGAGGCTGAGGCAGGAGAATGGCGTGAACCTGGGAGGCAGAGCTTGCAGTGAGCCAAGATTGCGCCACTGAACTCCAGCCTGGGCAACAGAGCAAGACTCCATCTCAAAAAAAAAAAAGATATTACAAGAGCATACATAAGTACATGGAAGGCATAGAAAAGGAGGAGAAGAGGAAAGTGTTCGTGAGTAACACTGTTAATATTTTGGAAGATTTCCTTCCAATCTTTTTTTCCTATGCCTTTACAAAAGTAGCTGAACATAGTCTATGTGTAATCCTGTAATCTGTTTTAAACTTAACATTATTGTATCAGTGTTTCCCCACAGAATCAGTAAACGAGCATAATATAATTCCATTGTGTGATCCATGGTACTATTTCATTGTTTTTCCAAGTGGGAACATTCAGCTTGACTTTGTTTTTGTTCGTTGGTTTGCTTGTGTATTTATAATGTTTGAATAGATGTTTCTAAGTATAAATCTTTATATGAATTTTTGATCGTTTCCCAAGATACTTTCCCAAAATCAGAATTTTGAAGTTAAATGAGATGGCACTTTAATCTTTATTGATTACTGACTGATTCTTCAACAAAATTTGTACTGTTTTGCATATCCAATAGTAACATTTCAGAGTGCGTCTTTTTTTTTTTTTTTTCTTTGGACAGAGTTTTGCTATTGTTGCCCAGGCTGGAGTGCAATGGCACGATCTCAGCTCACCGCATACTCCACCTCCCAGGTTCAAGCGATTTTCCTGCCTCAGACTCCCTAGTAGCTGAGATTACAGGCATGTGCCACCACGGACGGCTAATTTTGTATTTTTAGTAGAGATAGGGTTTCCCCATGTTGGTCAGGCAGGTCTTGAACTCCCAACCTAAGGTGATCCACCTGCCTCGGCCTCCCAAAGTGCTGGGATTACAGGCGTGAGCCACCGTGCCCGGCCTTTTTTTTTTTGAGACAGAGTTTCACTATTGTTGCCCAGGCGGGAGTATAATGGTGCGATCTCTGCTCACCGCACCTCCGCCTTCCGGGTTCAAGTGATTCTCCTGCCTCAGCCTCTTGAGTAGCTGGGATTATAGGCATGCCCCACCACGCCTGGCTAATTTTGTATTTTTAGTAGAGATGGGGTTTCTCCATGTTGGTCAGGCTGGTCTCGAACTCCCGACCTCAGGTGATCCGCCCACCTCAGCCTCCCAAAGTGCTGGGATTACAGGCGTGAGCCACCATGCCTGGCTGAGAGTGCTTTTTTACTATATCCCTGCCCTCTTTTATGGATTTTACTAGTTCTAAAAATAATTTTGATCACAGAAATTTTGGAAAATACGTCAGTACATACAGTAGATAATAAAATCACCTGCGGGCCTACTTTCCAGAAATAACTCTTGTTATTAACATTTCGGTTTCCTTTTTCCCAATCCGTCTTGTGTCTATTACAGGGCAAGGATCCCTTATCCAAAATGCTGGGGACCAAAAGTGTTTTGGATTTCGGATTTTTTTTGGATTTTGGAGTACTCACATATATGTAGTAAGATAATTTGAGGACCTGACCCAAGTCTAAACAGGAAATTCACTTATGTTTCATATACACCTTAGGCGCATATCTTGAAAGTCCTTTTGTCTTTCCCTGGAGAAGGCTGAATTAACTGTGTGTTGTGCGCCTGCGTTTTGACTGCCACTGGTCACATGAGGTCAGGTGTGGAAGTCTCCACTTCTGTCAGGTTAGTGCTTAAAAAGTTTCAGAACTGGGAGCATTTTGGATTAGGGATGCTCAAACTGTATTAATTACTTACACACGCATACATAACACACACACTACATAGTTTTTTAAAACAAAATTTGGGGCCAGGCATGGTGGCTCACGCCTGTAATCCCAGCACTTTGGGAGGGAGGCTGAGGCGTGCAGATCACCTGAGGTTGGGAGTTCGAGACCAGCCTGAGCAACATGGAGAAACCCTGTCTCTACTAAAAATACAAAATTAGCCAGGCGTGGTGGCACATGCCTGTAATCCCAGCTATTCCGGAGGCTGAGGCAGGAGAATTGCTTGAACCCGGGAGGCAGAGGTTGTGGTGAGCTGTGATTGTGCCATTGCACTCCAGCCTGGGCAACAATAGCGAAGCTCCGTCTCAGGAAAAAAAAAATTTGGATCATGCTATATGTGAGTTTTGTATTCTGCTTTAAAATACATAGGCAGCATTTTTCTATTTTAATAAATAGTTGTGCTGGGCGTGGTGGCTCATGCTTGTAATCCCAGCTCTTTGGGAGGCCGAGGCAGGCAGATCACTTGAGTTCAGGAGTTCAAGACCAGCTTGGCCAAAATGGTGAAATCTCATACCTACTAAAAATGCAAAAATTAGCTGGGCATGGTGGCCACGTGCCTGTAATTCCAGCTACTTGGGAGGCTGAGACAGGAGAATCACTTGAACCTGGGAGGCGGAGGTAGCAGTGAACAGAGATGACACAAGTGCACTCCAGCCTGGGTGACGAGAGTGAAACTCTGTCTCAAAAAAAATAAAAATAAAAATAAAAAACTTAGCCGGGTGGGGGCGACAGCACAGACTCCGTCTCAAAATAAATAAATTAATTTATAAATAAATAAATACATAGTTGGCTAAGTACAGTGGCTCAAACCTGTAATCCTAGCACTTTGGGAGGCCGAGGTGGGTGGAGCACCTGAGGTCAGGAGTTCGAGACCAGCCTGGTCAACATGGTGAAACCTGTCTCTACTAAAAATACAAAAATTAGCTGGGCATGGTGGCGGGTGCCTGTACTTCCAGCTACTTGGGAGGCTGAAGCAGTATAATTACTTGATCCTGGGAGACAGGTTGCAGTGAGTCGAGATTGTCACTCCAGCCTGGGTTACAGAGCAAGACTCCGTCTCAAAAATAAAAAAAATAAACAATTGAATACAAGGATTTTTAATATCTGCCTAATACTTATGCCTTCACCGCATTAATGTGCTACGCTTGATTTAATTGTTCCCTTTCGATATTCAGTTTATTTCCAGTTTGACGCTGCAATCCCACTGTGCTGAACGTCTCTGGCACATTCATCTTGGTTGCAATTGTACTTTAGGCTATATTTCTAAGAGTGAAATGACCACAGCCAAAGGTATGAACATTGTTCAGGCTTTCAATAAAGACTGCCAGATATTTACAAAGATTGTGCCAATCTCTATTCTCACCAGCCCTTCTGATTATTGTCCTTATCTCTGCCTGCCACTGAGCCCCCGGGCCATGTCTCTGTAACTCACTAACGGCCACATCCCATTTACTTCCCCATGAGTAGGATTTCAGTTTCCCAAACCTGAGGTGATCTGTCAGCTGGAGAACTGGGACGAGCAGTGGATCCTGGATCTACCGAGAGCTGGGAGTAGGAAGGCTTCCGGTAGTGCTTGCCCAGGTGGGTGAGGAAGAGACCCAGGCGAGTGGAATCAGGAAGAGGAAGGGAAGGCACGTTAGTGAAGCCCCTTCTCTGTGCCAGACCCAGAGCCAGGTGCTGGGCATATATTATCCCACTTCTTCATCACTGCTGCCCTGTGAGGTGGGAGGAACATCGGCATCCCTACTTCCCAGATGAAGAGACTAAGATTAAGAAATCTTGGCCGGGCGTGGTGGCTCACACCTGTAATTCTAGCACTTTGGGAGGCCAAGTCGGGTGGATCACCTGAGGCCCGGAGTTGACCAGCCTGGCCAACATGGTGAAACCCCGTCTCTACTGAAAATACAAAAATTAGCCAGGCGTAGTGGTGTGTGCCTGTAATTCCAGCTACCTGGGAGGCAGAGGCTGCAGTGAGCCAAGATCACGCCACTGAACTCCAGCCTGAGTGACAGAGCAAGACTCTGTCTCAAGAACTCTCACAGTTGGGAGGTGGACACTGGGGTTTGACTTGAAGTCTAGAACATTCATCCTCTCTCTCCTGCAGGAAAAAGCGCTGCTTGGACACAGCTGCTCTAGTGTTTTCTAAGTGACAGCTCTCAGGGCACCCTAGATGCCCCTTGATTCCACCCTCATTACTTGTCCTCTCTCTGTGCTGCCTCTTGTTCCCTTGCTTTGTTTTGTTTCCATATTACTCCCATATTCCCTGACATATCTGCATTCTGAGGCCCGGAGTTGACCAGCCTGGCCAACATGGTGAAACCCCGTCTCTACTAAAAATACAAAAAACTAGCCGGGCGAGGTGGCGGGCGCCTGTACTCCCAGCTACTCGGGAGGCTGAGGCAGGAGAATGGCGCAAACCCGGGAGGCGGAGCTTGCAGTGAGCTGAGATCCGGCCACTGCACTCCAGCCCGGGGGACAGCGCGAGACTCCGTCTCAAAAAAAAAAAAAAAAAAAAAACCTCACACAGGCCTGGTATGGGGGCTCACACCGGTAATCCCAGCACTTTGGGCAGTAGAGGCAGGAGGATCACTTGAGCCCAGGCGTTCAGGATCAGCCTGGGTGACATAGTGAAAACCCATCTCTACAAAAAATACAAATTTAAGCCGGGTGTGGTGGCGCATGCCTGTAGTCCCAGCTACTCAGGAGGCTGAGGTGCAAAGACCGGTTGAGGCTGGGAGGCAGAGGTTGCAGTGAGCTGAGATTACGTGACTGTACTCCAGCCTGGGTGACAGAGCAAGACTCTCAAAAAAGAACTCTCACAGTTGGGAGGTGGACACTGGGGTTTGACTTGAAGTCTAGAACATTCATCCTCTCTCTCCTGCAGGAAAAAGCACTGCTTGGACACAGCTGCTCTAGTGTTTTCTAAGTGACAGCTCTCAGGGCACCCTAGATGCCCCTTGATTCCACCCTCATTACTTGTCCTCTCTCTGTGCTGCCTCTTGTTCCCTTGCTTTGTTTTGTTTCCATATTACTCCCATATTTCCTGACATATCTGCATTTTTCTACTTACTGTGTCCTGATGCAGCTCCTCCTGTTTTTCACATCCAAGGTTTCTCCATGGCACTACTGACATTTTGGGCTGATGAATTCTCTGGGGGCGGGATGGGGGCATGTCCTGTGCATTTATGTCCTGTGCATTTTAGGATGTTAAGTAGCAGCCCTGGCCTGCACCCACTAGATGCCATTTGAACCTCCCCAGGTGTGACAACCAGAAATGTCTCCAGACATTGTCTGAACCCTGCTCACCCCTAGTTGAGACCCATTGCTCTAGTCAGTTGGCTTTTGTCCCTATTTCCCTCTGGTTCCTTTTCTGTTCTATCCTATACTTTGTCCATTTTTAAGCAGATGTTTCACCTAGAGTTATTAAAAACTTGTATCTAGGCCGGGTACAGTGGCTTACACTTATAATCCCAGCACTTTTGGAGGCCGAGATGGGCAGATCGCTTGAGGCCAGGAGTTTGAGACCCACCTGGCCAACATGGCGAAACCCCATCTCTACTAAAAATAAAAAAACTAGCCGGGCGTGGTGGTGCGTGCCTGTAATCCCAGCTACTTGGGAGGCTGAGGCACAAGAATCTCTTGAACCCAGGAAGTGGAGGTTGCAATGAGTCGAGATCATGCCACTGCACTCTGGCCTAGGCATGTCTCAAACAAAAAGCATGTATCTTGAAAAATAACATGCTACCTCTGACATTTATTTGGCGCCACTCAGTGGTGCCAAACAACTTACTAGAGTAAGTTGTTTTTCTGATAATGGTGATGGGCTCTGCTCTCACATTCTCTGGCATACACACTCCTGTGCATTTTTAGTGAGTTTGTTGGTGCCGAGAGCTCTTTTTGTTATGACAGTGAAGAGTCCAGTGAAAGTTAGAATTTTGGGCTGGGTGCAGTGGCTCACGCCTGTAATCCCAGCACTTTGGGAGGCTGAGGCAGGTGGATCACCTGAGGTCAGGAGTTTGAGACCAGCCTGACCAACATGGTGAAACCCCATCTCTACAAAAATTAGCTGAGTATGGTGGGCTGGCGTCTGTAATCCCAGCTACTCGGGAGGCTGAGGCAGGGGAATCATTTGAACCTGGGAAGCGGAGGTTGCAGTGAGCTGAGATCGCGCCACTGCATTCTAGCCTGGGCAACAGAGCGAGACTCCGTCTCAAAAAAAAAAAGAAAGAAAAAAGAAAAAGAAAAGAGAAAAATTCAGAATTTTGGCCTCTTGAGTGTGATGATGTAAACAAGAGATCACTTCTTAGCTTCATTTGATTGTCCTAGAGCCCTAACAGTTAGCTTCTCTTCCTTTTTTTCTTCTGCAGTGGATAGGTCATTTATATCTTTTCTTGTTATTTGGCTAGGTTCTGAAGCCAGACACAAGATGAAAAAGCTAACTCCAAAACAGAAGTTTTCTGAAGATTTAGAGTCATATAAGATATCAGTGGTAATGCAGGAATCAGCCGAGAAACTTTCAGAAAAGTTACATAAGTGTAAAGAATTTGTGGACAGTTGCAGGCTTACTTTCCCTACTAGTGGCGATGAATACAGCAGGGGCTTCCTTCAAAACCTTAACCTTATTCAAGATGAGAATGTGCAAACCAGGTGGAAGCAGGGCAGGTATGAGGATGACAAACCCCTCAATCAAAGATCTTTTCTTTTGGGGCACGAGCAAATTCTCACAAGAGCAAAGTCTTATGAATGCAGTGAATGTGGAAAAGTCATTAGGCGTAAGGCATGGTTTGATCAACATCAAAGAATTCACTTCTTAGAGAATCCCTTCGAATGTAAGGTATGTGGGCAAGCCTTCAGACAGCGGTCAGCTCTTACGGTCCATAAACAGTGTCACCTGCAAAACAAGCCATACAGATGTCATGACTGTGGAAAGTGTTTTCGGCAGCTCGCGTATCTTGTTGAACATAAGAGGATTCATACCAAAGAAAAACCCTATAAATGTAGTGAATGTGAAAAAACCTTTAGTCAGAATTCAACCCTTATTCGACATCAGGTGATCCACAGTGGAGAAAAACGCCATAAATGCCTTGAGTGTGGAAAAGCCTTTGGCCGGCATTCAACCCTTCTATGTCATCAACAGATTCACAGTAAACCGAACACCCATAAATGCAGTGATTGTGGACAGTCCTTTGGTCGGAATGTGGATCTCATTCAGCATCAAAGAATCCATACAAAGGAGGAATTCTTTCAATGTGGAGAATGTGGGAAAACGTTTAGTTTTAAGAGGAATCTTTTTCGACATCAGGTCATTCACACCGGAAGCCAACCCTACCAATGTGTCATATGTGGAAAATCTTTCAAGTGGCACACAAGCTTTATTAAGCACCAGGGCACTCACAAAGGACAGATATCCACGTGATATTAACTGGAAAGCCGTCATTGAAGGACTAGAACTTAACTTCAAGTGTGTATCACATGATTGTTTTCATGAAAAGCAATAAATGTAACAAAGGGTTCTTCTATGGGGGCCCTCTTTTTGTGGCCAATCTGCTGCCCTAGTGAAGAAACACTTCAAAGGAAATGTTAGCCTGGGCAACATAGTGAGATCCTGTCTCTACAAAAAACAAGCCAGGTGTGGCTCACACCTCCAGTCCCAGCTACTGAGAAGGCTGAGGTGGGAGGATTGCTTTAGCCCAGGAGTTTAAGGCTGCAGTGAGCCATGATGTGTCACTGTACTCCAGCCTGGGTGACAGAGCGAGGCTGTCTCAAAAAAAAAAAAAAAAAAGAGAAAAGTTTACTAGGCTGTTGTGTTCACTCTCTTGCACCCTCTATGCCCTCATCCCCTCCAGCCTAGTTAAGGCAGAAGGGAGCCATAGAAGCTTTGCCCTGCGGTCACCAGGCTGGGGACCAATGAATGGATTGTGAATGATTGAAGGACTGAAGAATGGGCCAGGTGTGGTCACTCATGCCTGTAATCCCAGCACTTTGGGAGGCTGAGAATGGAGAATCACTTGAGGTCAAGAGTTCAAGACCAGCCTGGCCAACATGGTGAAACCCTGTCTCTACTGAAAATACAAAAATTAGCGGGCCATGGTGGCATGTGCCTGTAGTTCCAGCTACTTGGGAGCCTAAGGCAGGAGAGTTGCTTGGACCTGGGAGGCAGAGGTTGCAGTGAGCTGGGAACATACCACTGCACTCCAGCCTGGACAACAGAGTGAGACTCCATCTCAAAAAAAAAAAAAAAAAAAAAAGGATTGAAGAAGAATGCCTTTCCTGTATTACATACAACTATGACCTGCTAATGTATAGACTTAAAAAAAAAAACAAAAAAACTAAGGGCTACTCACTAGTAACTAGTGAGGTATGAAGAACTGCTAAAAGTTGCCCATAATCAGCCCGGGCGTGGTGGCTCACACCTGTCCAGCACTTTGGGAGGCCAAGGTGGGTGGATCATGAGGTCAGGAGTTCAAGACGAGCCTAGCCAAGATGGTGAAACCCCGTCTCTACTAAAAATACAAAAATTAGCCAGGCACAGTGGCGGGCACCTATAATCCCAGCTACTTGGGAGGCTGAGGCAGGAGAATCACTTGAACCCGGGAGGCAGAGGTTGCAGTGACCCGAGATTGCATCACTGCACTCCAGCCTGGGAGACAGACCAAGACTCCGTCTCAAAAAAAAAAAGTTGCGCATAATCTAAAATGAATGTGTTAGTAGATTCTGGAAAGAGCTATAAGTCAGTATTTGTAATAGGTGCTGTGGGCCCTGCCGAAGTCCCTCTGGCCTTACTTACACCTTCTGTGGGCGTCATCTGACTGTGTCTGCACCTTGTGGCCTGAGGGCAAAAGAGACATCCTGGGAGCAGCCGTCAACCAATCATTGATGGGCATTTGATAAACACCAAATTCTCCATCTCCCTATGTGTGGAAAACTCTGAAGCATGTGTTTTAGTTTCCAGAGGTTCCCCAGGAATTGCACACAGACACTCACCATGGTAGCTGCCTCATTGGGTGACTTCTCTCTCTTCCACCTTCCCTAACAGTATTGCAACCTCTCCCCAACAAATAAACTCCTTGTATTCAAAAAGTGTCAATTATGGTCTCTGAGGAGCCATATCCCTTCTGTTTTCACAGTTATTCTAAGCACATTCTGACATTCAGTTTAAATAGGTTGAGCTGAGTGTATTCTCCCTAGAGCTCAACAATATAAGAGATCCACTTAAATTATTTTGATATCCTAAACATCATCCTATGTCTGTATTAAACATTGATCTAATTTGCCGGGCGTGGTGGTGGGTGCCTGTAATTCCAGCTACTTGGGAGGCTGAGACAGGAGAATCGCTTGAACCAGGGCGGTGGAGGTTGCCGTGAGCCAAGATTGCACCACTGCATTCCAGCCTGGGCGACAGAGTGAGACCCTGTGTCAAAAAAAAAAAAAAAAAAAAAAAAACAATGTTGCCTACCTCAGGCCAGGTGCAGGGTCACACCTCTGATTCCCCAACACTTTGGGATGCTGAGGCGGATGGATCACTTCAACCCAGGAGTTTTGAGACAGCTGGCCAACATGCAAAACCTCTTTTTTTTTTTTTTTTTTTTTTTTGAGATGGAGTCTCATTCTGTCGCCCAGGCTGGAGTGCAGTGGTGCAATCTCGGCTCACTGCAACCTCTGCTCCTGGGTTCAAGCCGATTCTCCTGCTTCAGCCCCCGAGTAGCTGGGGACAACAGCACCCGTCACCATGCCCAGCTAACTTTTGTATTTTCAGTAGAGATGGGGTTTCGCCATGTTGGCCAGGCTGGTCTTGAATGCCTGACCTCGTGATCTGCCAACCTCAGCCTCCCAGTGTTGGACTTATAGGCGCAGTGAGCCACTGCGCCCAGTCTCTCTTATACTTTTAAAGTACAAAAACTAGCTGGGTATGGTGGTTGTGTGCCTGTAGTCTCAGCTGCTTGGGAGGCTGAGGTGGAAGGATCACTTAAACCCAGGAAGTTGAGGCTGCAAGTGAGCCAAGATCATGCCACTGCACTCCAGACTGGGCGACAAAGTGAGACCTTGTTTTTTTTTTAAATTAATTTTTTTAAAAAAAGATAGTTTGTATTTACAATTTTCTCCAATGACCAGGCATTCAGGCACTTGTCACTCAGATTAATCCTCATGTTTAAAGAAGATACAAACAGGAGAGAACTGTAATTCACCGAGTAGTCATATCCAAAGCGCAGCCATCCTGAGATAGCTACAGACTTAGAGGGAGGTGTAGATGCTGTCCAGGCCAGACACCCTTCAGCTTCCAGACAGTTCCTAGAGCAAAAGCAGCCACCATTACCTACACCCAGACTAGACCCACAGTTCTGCCCTGTTTTTCAGAGGCCGGTAGTGCCCTGACTGCTGCTTCCTGATGATATTCCTTCAAGCAGAGGGCTCTATTCCATGTGCCCCAGCTCACCTGCATCGGGAGAGGGTGGTCTCCTGACCGTGATGGTGGGTGCCCCTAGTGGAGCTGAGCAGACACCCCCTTCCCTTCATTTTCACAGGACCTGGAAAGGACAAGCACACTTGCCCTACTGGAGATGATTTTTATGTTCTATTTTATTCATTTCTGTACGAAATACTCAAAATTTGTGTAATAAGCCTTGTGATATCATGATAAATATATATTTGGTCTCCATCCTCAGTGACTAGCAGAGAGCTCCCCAAACCTTGGAGAATTCCTGAGGGATGAGGGTGCCAAGAGCGTCTTTTAATACTTGGTCTTTTGACACTTGTTCCTGACACGGAGCTGCTAAAGCCACTGGAATTTCCTTAGTGATGCATGTCTTTGTTCTAATAAGGCAACTCTTGGATTCCCAATGGGTTCAACTTGGGGGCTGGTCACTGGAAAGACGAAGGCATGATTAGAAACTTGGAAGCCAAGGCGGGCGGATCACGAAGTCAGGAGATAGAGACCATCCTGGCCAACATGGTGAAACCCTGTCTCTACTACACTACAAAAAGTTAGCTGGGCATGGTGGCGAGTGCCTGTAGTCCCAGCTACTCGGGAGGCTGAGGGAGGAGAATGGCGTGAACCCGGGAGGTGGAGCTTGCAGTGAGCTGAGATCTGGCCACTGCACTCCAGCCTGGGCGACAGTGTGAGACTCTGTCTCAAAAAAAAAAAAAAAAAAACAATTGGAACTTCCAGTTCAAGGAGAATTGCTTGAACCCAGGAGGTGGAGGCTGCAGTGAGCAAAGATCCTGCCACTGTACTCCAGCCTGGGCCACAGAGGTAGACTGTCTTTAAAAAAAAAAAAAACAAATCCACTTTGGGAGCCAAGGCAGGCAGATCCCCTGAGGTCAGGAGTTTGAGACCAGCCTGGCCAACACGGTGAAATCCCGTCTCTACTAAAAATACAAAAATTAACTGGGTGCAGTGGCAGGTGCCTGTAATCCCAGCTACTCGGGAGGCTGAGGCAGGAGAATTGCTTGAACCCGGGAGGTGGAGGTTGCAGTGAGCCAATATCATGCCACTGCACTCCAGCCTGGGTGACAGAGCAAGAATCCGTCTCAAAAAAAAGAAATCAGTAAGTCAAAAAACTGAACTCCTAGGCCACTAGAATGGGAAAGAGGGACTATGTAAAATTAGGTTTTCTGGAAAGTGAAAAATAGAGTGTTTCTTGTGAGCACTGAGCTTTACCCATAATCTGGGGATTATGAAGTAGTTGAAACCCTCTCTACCGTCTAAGGACAAAGGCAAATTTTAAAAGACTAAAATACATTCTTAGAGAAGTATTAGTAACTGTAGTGAGCAAGATTTGGTTCAAAAGTGAATAAAGAGGCTGGGCGTGGTGGCTCATGTGTGTAATCCCAGCACTTTGGAAGGCTGAGGTGGGCAGATTGCCTGAGCTCAGGAGTTCACTAGCAGCCTAGGCAACACGGTGAAACACCATCTCTACCTGTAGTCCCAGCTACGCGGGAGGCTGAGGCAGGAGAATGGTGTGAACCCAGAAGGCAGAGCTTGCAGTGAGCCGAGATCTCGCCACTGCACTCCAGCCTGGGCGACAGTGCGAGACTCTGTCTCAAAAAAAAAAAAAACAATTGGAACTTCCAGTTCAAGGAGAATTGCTTGAACCCAGGAGGTGGAGGTTGCAGTAAGTGAAGATCGTGCCACTGTACTCCAGCCTGGGCCACAGAGGTAGACTGTCTTAAAAAAAAAAAAAAAAGAAATCCACTTTGGGAGCCAAGGCAGGCAGATCCCCTGAGGTCAGGAGTTTGAGACCAGCCTGGCCAACACAGTGAAATCCCGTTTCTACTAAAAATACAAAATTTAACTGGGCGCAGTGGCAGGTGCCTGTAATCCCAGCTACTCGGGAGGCTGAGGCAGGAGAATCGCTTGAACCCGGGAGGTGGAGGTTGCAGTGAGCCAATATCATGCCACTGCACTCCAGCCTGGGTGACAGAGCAAGAATCCGTCTCAAAAAAAAGAAATCAGTAAGTCAAAAAACTGAACTCCTAGGCCACTAGAATGGGAAAGAGGGACTATGTAAAATTAGGTTTT